AAACCACTGTATAGGCCATGACTCTCCAACAAGTAGTTCTGGTTTTTCTTTAGCAGAAAATTTTGGTCCAGGTGATCGTTGGGAAGAGTTAATAAATATATATTATATTACAGTATATATAAAATAAAATTAATAAATTTATTATTTGGTTATTTAAATTATACAATAGATTAAAATTTTATTGTCTAAAAATATACAGTCATCATACTCTATAATTTTATATAAAAAAGATGTGATTATGAAATTTTAATAGTAATGTGATTATATACAGTCGTCCTCCTCTACAGTCATCTTCTATATAATCACACCCTCTTTATAAACACCATTTTTTAAAAAATTATTGGCAATATATTTATTTAAAAAACTCTACAGCCATACTCCTCTATAATCACGCTGTTTGTTTTACATAAAAAAGATGTGATTATGAAATTTTAGTAATGTGATTATATAGAGTTTTTTTAATAAATATATTGCCAATAATTTCTCAAAAAATAGTGTTTATGAAGAGGTGTGATTATATAGAAGGTGACTATAGAGGAGGAGGACTGTATACACTTATCAACAAGTAGAAACAAAAGTTATCAAAAACCTTCGTAGATTAAGAACATGAATAAATCGGTGTCCAAATCTATCTCGATACTATAAAAATATCAGGAAAGCAATTTTATCTAAATTAAATATGTACTTCGTATATATTCTCAGAGTATTCGGATTCAATGAATGTTCATTAAGATTTTTGACTGATATCCGAATATTAAACCTATTGAATAAATATTCAGATTTTCATTTTTTTTTGACCGGATCATTTACCAATTTTCATGTAATTTGACAAATACAAGAAAATTACCCTATATGTATAGCTCGAAATACTGTACGTACGCCAAGCAATGGATCCCAATGAATAATTATTTATTGAGGTCCGTTCGGTCTACTACCAAGAGGGCCTTTTTAATTTACGGTTATGTCAAATTTATACTAGACACACGTTAATTTTCCAAAACGAGCTTTATTCGGTATATATATATATATAGTTGAGATCCGTAAATATCCACGGATAAAAATGAATATTCAATTAAAAGCATATATTCTGCTACAAATTCATGAATAATCGAGGATTATTAGATTAAATTAGTTTCATGAATATTTAAGTTTCACAAAATTCGTGAATATTCTAATACAACTAATACAACTAGAATATTCAATGAATATCCATAAATTCTTTTACGATAGTTATCTCGATATAAAATCATATAAAATCTAGATACTATTTGTAGATGACTAAAACCCATGAATATAAAGGATACCAGCTCTATACATATATATTTTAAAAAAATAACCATAAATGTATACCCTTAAAAAATTTCGATTTAAATAATTAGCTGTGAGAGAGCGCAGGAGTGTAGCACAAGTATTGCGAAACACACAAATACACAAATTCTAAAAAAAGACAGTAAAATTTTTGTTTTCTGATCTCCTGCATGCGAGATTTTTTTAAATGTCTTCAGACAGATATATAATTTCAGCACCCGGAAAAGTTATTTTATTCGGAGAACACGCGGTTGTTCATGGCAAGGTACGGGCCCGAAACTTTGCAGAAATATATTTATCCTTTTACGTTTATATGCGCGTATATGCGTATGTTCAATATATTCAATATGTTCAATATATTCAATATGTTCAATATATTCAATATGTTCAATATGTTCAATATGTTCAATAATTAATAGACAGCAATAGCCGGAAGCCTCGACGAATTACGAACGTACGCATTATTTGAAAAACGAATAGATGGATACCTTGAATTAAACTTACCAGACCTTGGTCTTCAACGCGCTATCTTATGGCCTACTTCTATATTACCTTATAATTTAGTAAATAATGTTGAAACCAAAGGTGCTTTCATAAAAAAAAATTTGTGTAAATTTTTTTCTTAAGATTTAATGAAACTGACTTTGATCCGATTTTTATTTTTTTTTTCGGTAGAGGGACCACAAAAATTACAATTTAATGATATACTTTTTCACAAAATAAAATCAATTGTATCTAATGGACAAGATAATCAAGAAATTAATCATAAACAACAAATTGCAGCTTCCACATTTCTTTATTTATACACATGTTTGAAATATAATTCACAAACTTCATGGTATTTTTCACATATCTATTAATTCATGTTTTAATAAATTCTTTTTAAAAAATTTTAATTTATTTATTAGGGATGGAATGACAATTTGTGTTAGATCGAATTTACCAATTGGATCAGGATTAGGTTCATCGGCTTCATATTCTGTTTGTTTGGCCACAGGATTATTACTTGCTTTTGGTTATATTTCACCTCCTTTTGAAAATAAACAAGATTTTAAAAAGTCGAGTGAATTGATTAATTTATGGGCATATCAAGCCGAAAAGGTTCTTCATGGAACACCATCCGGAGTTGATAATTCAGTAGCTACTTATGGCAAGTTTAAAAATTGATTTATTGAATGATAAGTCTTGGCTAATATTATTATATTATAACATTACAGGAGGCGTTATAGTGTTCACCAATGGAGTGATTCAAAATATAAAGGGGTAATTATTTGATATACGCATATTTGTAACATATTATTTGTTTGAAACTGACAAATTCTTTTGAAAGAACACAATCTTTACGTTTCTTATTGACCAATACCAAAGTACCACGTCACACAAAAAAACTGGTAGAAAATGTTAGAAAAAGACTTGAAAATGTAAGACATATATATTTTTTTAATAAATTATTCATTACAATATAAATATATACGATAAATTTTTTTTCAATTCATTTATTATTATTATTATTTATTTATTTTTAGTTTCCAAAAAATGTTAATTTAATATTGGATGCAATCCATAGTATTAGCGAATCATTTAAAGAAATTTTGGAAAATGAAACAAGTAAGTGTATAACTTTATTTTTTAATTTTTTAATACTATGCTCACGATTTGATTTATTCACGTAGAGGACAATCAAGAACTGTGTACAAAAATTGAGGTTTAATACATTTTTAATTATTTCAATAAGAAAATTACTAAATAAACACAGGGTGTATGTACACAGCAACCACGTGACTTATCACCTTTATCGGCACAGCAGTGATCGACAGCGCAATGACAAAATTGAGCGAAGATATAATGAAAACCACTAAGCCAAATTTGGTTTGGTGGTTGTCGAGATATCTTTGCTCAAAGTTTGAAAAAAATTCGAAACGCCTATCAAAATAGATGTGCTAAAATTTTTTCTAACTTTGAGCGAAGATATCTTGACAACCACAAGCCAAATTCGATAAACTTTTTTTTTTTTTTTTAAAAAAAAAGGGTTTATTCGAATCTGGTTTAGTGGTTGTTAAGATATCTCTGTTCAAAGTGGAAAAAATTTTAGTGCATCTATTTTGATAGACGTATCGAATTTTTTTTAAACTTTGAGCAAAGATATCTCGAAAACCACCAAGCCAAATTTGGCTTAGTGGTTTGTCATTTCGCCGATAAAGGAGATAAGTCACGTGGCAAATCTGTGTAACAGGAATAATTTTTACGAAAATTTAATCCTTGCTTATAGTTAGGAAAATTTGCAAGGAATTTTTTTCGTTAGAAGCCAAAGGTGGTCTCAGAATCAAAAATTTTGAGATATCAGTTGGTATGCTCGTGTACATACCGGTACACCCCGTGTACAAATAGAATCTATAAATTTATATTTTTTTTTTAAAAAAAAAAAATAGGGATTCATTGATATGGGTCATCACTTATTAAATTCACTTGGGGTAGGTCACCCAAGTTTAGACAAAGTTCGAGAAATAGCAGCACAATATGATCTGCATACAAAACTTACAGGTGCCGGTGGAGGAGGGTGCGCAGTAACCTTTATTCGTAATGGTAAATTGAAAAATCTCTAAAATAAAAATATTAGTATTAAATATAAAATTAATATATAAAAATTTAATTTTATAGATGTACCAAAAGAAAAAGTCGAAAATGTTAAAAAGGATCTGAATGCTTCACCACATTGTTTTGAATGTTACGAAACATCTATCGGAGGACATGGAGTTGGCGTATTGGATACATGTATTAGCACAGATTTACAGGAATTCTTGAAAAGTGAAAAGAATAAATTGGCCGAAATTACTGGGTGGAAGTATTTTGCTTAAGGGTAGGAGGTACATAGATTATTTGTCATATGATTTTGGTGGTACAATAACAGATAAGTTTTGTAAAGAAAATAAAATACGCTACTAATAAAAGTCTTTACAGTTAAAATTAAAATTTATAATATATAGATTAAAATATGTTTTACGTAATAATATAAGTTTTAGTAAATAAAAGATTTAAAAAAATAGATTTGTATATATTGTAAAGTTTTCCGCAGCTTACTCAAATCTTTCCTTAGTCACACAAAATTATTAATTTTGATATAAAATTTTTATAAACAATTTGTAATACCCAATTTTTAAATGCAAATTTACTACTGTTAGAATCAGAAAAATCTGGTCTACAACTTTTATTAGAAATTTAAAAAGAAAAAATTTTTACAATTAATTTTATATATACAGTAAGTAATACAAATAATACCCTTAATAAATTGTACAATATATACAATAGCATAAATTTGGTAGTCATTTGACTTGTACAAAGTTTTTAGTTAACCAAGAATTACATTAAATGGTTTACTGATTAAAAAGATTGAGAACACCATTTAAGTACGTATGTGCGTGGGTTAAAAAACAAACGAGGTTGATCAGGTTTAACATTAAAGGCAAATGTTATAGCATTTTAACGTCATTTTAATAATAAAATTAAGTTTGGGGAAATATTAGTAATAAATATTTAGGTCACAAGAGATTTCGATTTTAAAAAGATCGATACTAATTTAATCAAAAATAGCGTTAGAAGGGATATAAATTTACTAACCAATAATGAAATAAAATGTGTGAGACCTTTAACGTATCACATTTTTTCAGGAGGACAGATGAATTCAGAATGTCTTTACGAATTAACGAGCTTCGAAAAAGTATCTACGGTTCAACTTTCTTAATTTTATAGGATCAACGAAAATAAATACCAAATTTAATCATAATCAGATCGAATCAAAATCGAACAGAATTGATAATTTCCTAAATAAATTCATTATTTAGGTCACGCCACTTAATGTAACGTTCACTTAAAACCTTATTTGTTAAATATTTAAAATATCGATACTAAAAAAAGCTGAGGAATTTTTGATCATAATATATTTCCGAAAAGAAAAGATCATCATAAAGATGTGCGTTCAGTACTCGCTCGGTACCCCAAAAAATTCCGTAATAGTTGTAGATAAGACGATAACGTATAAATCGTATAATACAGAAAAGTTAGATGAATAACGATAAAAACACAAGCATTAAAGAAAATCCGGGTGAACACAAATAACACAAACAACACAAACAACACAAACAATAACAAAACATAAACATCTTTTTTAGGAAAAAAACGTAAATAAAATCACATGTGTTACTCATGTTACTCGTATAATGCACGAACATAATGTGTGAAAAAAAGGGCTTTGAGAAAGGCATCGGACTTATTTTACCAGTCTCCGACATCGGAAAAGAACGCGAAACTTTTAAAACGCGTATTAAAACGCGCACTCTAAGCGCGCGATTATATAATTAAAAGAATTCCGAAACTTTTAGAAATAATCAAGTATTAAAATATGAAAAAGAACTAAACTAGCTTAGCATTATTTGTTATACGCGCGATATTAATGGGTATGTCCGACGTTTTTTTTTTTTTTGAATGGATATGTAAATAAATAAACAAGCATCTCTTTTTTTGTAACATTATGCCCGAAAGGTAGCTTTGCATTATCCAATAATCACATTAAATCATCCTCTCCTCCTCCTCTTACCCAAAATGAAAGCCAATTCTCTCAAACACTTGCATTACCATTGTTCTATATAAACCAATTTTAGTCAATCGAACATTAAAAGAATGAAGGTCGTATTTCGATTTGAAATTGAATGATAACAATCATAATCATTGTGCCATGAATTTTTTTTCTTACGTTATTTGCGTTATCAAACTCTGCCGAATTTGTAATTTGTTCTCCTTTCTCGTGTGATGGTCGTTATGCATTATTTGGCATATGACCTAATTTGTTTAACTGCAAGAAAAAAAAAAAAAAAATTAATAATAAAATTTCTCATTCTAAGCGTATTATTCGCATTAACTAAATTGATTCATTTTATTCATTTATTCATTAACTTATACGAAAATTTCATTGTCATAGAACTTATCAATATTTAGGTCATCGTTTTACAACAGATTTCATTGTTTAAAAAAACTTTTTTTTTTTCTCTTATTAACTCACTAAAATGATGATAATAATCCGTTTTTTCTTTTGTTTCTTTTTTTTTCAACAATTTTTTTTTTCTTCATTATTCTCTCTCTCTCTTCTCTTCCCAAAAGACAAGAAAATTATTGTTTTTTCATTCACATATTAAACAACAATATTAACATATTATATTATTCATTATATTATTCATTATTCACACACACCCCCAAAGAACCAACTTGATAAATATTTTAATAATAATATATTTTTTCTATTGTATTTATTTTTTTTTAACGAAAAAAAAAAAAAAATGAAATACGAGATTCATTCAGATTATTGCCAGTAATCGAAAGGTAAGATAAAAAAAAGTTTTTTGCCAGAACGAAAAATAAAGAGTCCTTGAAAAGAAGATAAAATAAAAGGTAAACAAAAAAATTGTTCTTCAGATTTAACCATTTTGAAAAGATAACGTATCAACGTATCTTAGAAAGGACCAGGTACAAATAAAATAAAAAAAAAGGGTATGGTAAGGGTGAAAGAGTCTACAAAGAATAGGCGAAAAAAAAAAGTACAAATGCGAAATGCAATGCGATAAAAAATGCGAATATAAAATCTGCATAAAGTTTTCGTGTATATAACCTATATAAATTTGAATGATAATTGTGTTTTGTAAATGATTGTTCAAAAAAAAAAATAATAGTTTTGAGAACAAAAGAGCTATTGTTCATAAAAAAAACAGAGACACGATTTTTTTTTTTCGAACGTTAAAAATCTTGAAAAAAATAATAGGAGGATAAAACGGTAGGATAAATCTTATAAAAAAAAACCATAAAAAATTGTGGATGGATTTTGAAGCATAATTGTGTTGTCGTATAACTCATAAAAGAAAATACATTCTAATAATGAAGCATATACAACAAAGAGGAACAACGAAATAAAATACGGAAAAAAAGGAACCGCGAGTTATAAAAAGATTCGTACGTTTTTGTACTTTGTTAAATAAAAAAAGGAACGAAATATTTGAGAAAGAATAGTGAAGAAAAAAACAAACAACAGAAACGAGAACTGATAGAAAACAAACAATAAAAACAAATAAATATGAACAAAGGGATGAGGTTTTTTCTTTAATGAAGATTTTAATAAAAAACTATATACAAGAAAAAAAAAATAAAGCATGTGTGTTGTTATTTGTGTAATAATATGATGACATACTAGTGCCTTAAAAAAAAATTCTTTTGCCCTTCCAAAGTCTTTACTATCTAAAGTGCCTCTTTAATAGTTTTTTGATCGTAAATTCCATAATCCTTCGCTCATTAAATACATAAAAAAAATACATCAATTGGTTCATTATTTTTTCGAAAATGTCTCCTGTAATAAACTATAAAAGTTGGATAAAATTCTTGCTTGACGTTTTTTTAATAAAAAAGATTGAAAATAATATATTTTTACGAGGAGATATCGAAAAAAAGAAAATTGAATAATTTTTTTTTTTAGTAATAAAAAAGAAAGGATTCTATTAAGTACAAAAGAGGACTGACTGACTGACTGACTGACTGAGAACAAATAATTAACGATAATATATTTAAATAATAAAAGGGGATTTGAAAATTATTAAAAGAATTTTTTTTGTATGCATCATTATCTATAAAAAAACATATGTTCAATTGAAATTTTTGAAAAAAAGAAATCAAAAGGTAGAGAATTAATTCTCAAACCTAAAAGTTTTTTCAAACCGAAACAAACCGATTAAACGTGTATATTATATAAATTCCTCCAAATTTTGTAGTCTTGTGCGTTAAAAATGGTAACCAAAAAAAATGGGATAACAGTTTTGATCCACAACTTTGAACCCAAAAACCCACAATAAATATAATAATAACCCATGAATTTCCTCGTCGTGAAATCAAAATTCATCCCATTAGAGAAGTGTTCTGTTTTTGAGGGTGAGGAAAGGGAACTCCCTTTATCTCGATTGATATCAAATCAAATCAAATCATTGTCGTTTTACGTAAGGAAGGGAGGAGTGAATTTGAGATAGTGTAATTAGGGAAAATAAAACTTGATAAATAGAACAAAAGTTTTTCAATTTTATAATAATAATAAAGAAAATAAAAAATAAAAAGAATCCTTATTATGAGCAAATATACAAAGATCATTTTGCTCAAATTATAATTACTCGGCGAATAATTACATTAATCCCATGAACCTTCCTTGATAAGTATGTCAAATATCTATATTCATATTATAAATATTATATTGATTAATTATTATTGGCAATAAAAATGTGGTAAACCATGTTATTAAACATAAAAAAATATGCATACCATATCACCCATTAAACTATAACCATCCTCTGTAGGATGAACACCGTCATGATCCCAAAAGATTCTACGCTGTTCTGTCGTTAAAGAATGCATCGGGAAAAATTTATCAAGGAGGAAGAGTGTGTATGCATTCCTTGTAGTGCTGTTGTTATACACGCTAAAGAAAAAACCATGATGTATTTATGTTAGCATAAGAGAAGGGCAATTTAAATGTGACGATAAAAGAATTGTCATGTGACGTACTTTAAGTGTTCATTTACTATACGGCGCTGATAATCAAGGTGATTTACAAGATCCTAAAAAATTTAATGATGACGATAATTAGAGAAAGAAATTCCGAGAAATAGAAATAGATATGAAAAAGCAGATATTAATCGAGTATAATAATAAATTACCCAGTCGAACTCAGGAATCGTTACTCCTAATACTCGAGCACCGTGTTTTGAACATAATGTATATAATTTCTTTAGGCCATCAAAGATATCCCAAGCAGAATATCCATTGATTACATCATTTGTTCCTAAAAGACAAACAATATAGAAAGATTCATAGATGCATTAGCAAAATAAATAAATAAACGTATACATAATGAACAATGAATGAATAAATACATAAATGAATGAATGCATGCATGAATGAATGAAACCGTCATAATTACCTCCTAGAATAACAACCCAGTCATACCATTTACCCGGTTGTTCTAGTTCATGCTTTAACCTTTCTTCCATAGATTGAACAACACATTCACCGGGAACACCACTAACAGTAACCTAATTAAACGTATAATGATGTAATGTTAAGTCATAAATAAAGATAATAAAGATAATAATAATGATAATAAAGATATAAAGATATAAAGATAATAAAGATATAAAGATAATAATAAATAAATACCTCTACATCTAAACCTTCATCCTCAAATCTTTTTTGAACCCTTAGTCCGTAAGGATGATAAGTACCATAACCATCGGCATTTTTTACCCATCCTATTTAAATAAAAAGGTCGTTAATGCCGGGTTCTCAGATTGAAAAGATTGAAAAGACTGAAAAGGTGATGATGAACCATTGATATACTGATGAATCGGATAATCACATGTAAATTTTCATACAACTTATCATGTAAATTTTCATACAACTATCATGTAAATATCATGCAATAATCATACTACACCATTATATGATCATGATACTATCAATCACCTCCACCCCACTATCCAATTTACCATCAATTCATCATTAATTTCATTAATTCATTACTAATTTATCATTCAATTTACCATTAATCCATCCCCAATTTACCATCAATTACTACTAATTAACTCAATTTTACTATTAACCAACCACCTATTAATCATTATTTCACACCATTAAGTTCACCATTAAGTTCACCATTAATTCACCATTAA